TTTTTAACTCTTTCACCGTTCGCTGTAACAAATCTATTTCGTCAATTGCACTAAACTTAGCCTCAATTAGTGATACGACGCAGTCGTGATCACGTGTTTTGTCACAATAGCATACGTCACACGTTTTCGGACGGTTTGCCTCATTGTGCTCACAGATGGCGGTGTGTTGTATGAGGTCCTCTAACTTAATCACTTGAACGCACCCATTATCCCAAAAGTCACATTTAATGTTTAAATTTCCTAATATATTTACAAAAACCCTGGAAACATATTAAAATTTTAATATTTGTAATTATAATTTTCATAGAAATATTTAGTATTTAATTATAATATTATATTTACTAAATAATAAATTTATTTTATTAATTATTTATATCATTTTTAGTATATTTATATATTAGAAAATTATTAATTAATTCACCAATATTTATTTTATTTATTTCAATTTGATAAATCAATGGTCATTAAAAATTATAAATTTTTACCTCGGTGCTCTAGTTAATTTAGCAATAGTTAGCGTTTTCCTATCATATGGACAGGTAGTGTTGTTTTGTAACCAATTGGTGATACAGTCCTCACAAAATGTCTGCAAACAACACGGGGTAGTCATTGGACTGCAAAATATGTCCTGACATATACTGCACGTGTATTCAGACTTCTCCCTAGCAGACAAATTTGGGAATCTTGACAAATCGTATCCGGGCATTTTATAAATAATTTAATTTTGATTGTTAATAATATTGTTTATAAATTTAAAAAATTTATAGCTTAATAGTAAAAACACTAAATTTATTAAGTTTAATTGTTTAATATATTATATGCCGTAGTATATATATTATTCAACATTTAAGGTCGTACACTCTGTCAAGTATTTCACTATTTTTCTTATTTAAAGTAATATCATAAATACTTCAATTAAATGTCATTGGTACAAAAGTCAGTTTGCTATAAATTTTATTATCGTATTATAGATATAATAATGAATAAACACATTTTTATAATTATATAATACAACGGTTTATTTCTTATCATATTAAAATAGCTTTTATGTGAACCAGGATATAGCTGATAAATAATTAACTAAACAACGTATAATACATATAATTAATAAATAGTATATTTAAATTATGTTTTAATATTCCTGCTATCTGAATGTATAACCAAATAGTAAAAATAAAATCTGAGTTTATTTGTATACTAGGATTTCAAATAGATGATTTAATAAAAATGTATTAATTTTTAAAACCTATAAAATCTGTAAATCGTTTAAGATCTGTAAAAAAATTAATTAAATTTTGATTGATTTTAGTCGCAAGAATTCAGCATGTACAATAATCAAAACTACTTTGAAATATGAAAATATCATATAGTTGTGATATTATTTGTGCAGTTAAATTATCCCAATTTTGATATGCCATTAATTTTAAATGCTTATATGTTTACGCCGCAAAAACTCATCAGGTACAATAATACTTTCACTCGTTTTCAGTCGCTTCAGAGTATCAGGGTCATTATTATCCCAATCGCATTGATATAGTGTTAGGGCAGCCAATAATTTTACAGTTTGTGAAACGTCTCTCCTGTCTGTTAAATCTTCCAACACGTGCAATGCATTCTCGTTTCGCAATAACACACAATACTTTGAGCCTAAATAATGTTACACGGTTAATTTGAGTTTTTAAATAATAATTATTTTATGATATATAATTTTGTATTGTATTTTAGATAAAATTATACAATTATTTATAAACATAAAACCTATAGCTCATAAAGTTTTAAATTTATATTTAAATTATACTTGCTCATTGGAATGTTTTATAGTACACATAGTTACTGCTGTATATACCAGTAATACTAATCGAGTTTTAATATTTTAATTCAAATTTGAAATAGGTTTATGTAGATTTAAGTGTTATAGGATTATTGAATTTATTAAATTAAAATTATCAATAAAATAAAATAAATTATTAATAAATAAAAATTAAACATACTTTTAACTCTAGTACAATTTGCAAGTAGCCATACAGGAAATAAATAATAATCCGATTGACTATTGTTTTTCAATTGAAGTATTATCGGTTTGAACGTGCTAAATTTAATAGATAATACGTTATTAATTAAGAATCAGTGTTTATTGTACTAGTTATTACTTGTAATTAAATGAAATTTCATTATTAATCGCCCATGTTGCAATTTCTTTATTTATTTTACTTAATATAGTTTTACGAGTTATGTTACTGGGTAAATTTTTAGGCCACACATTGCTGCCTAATGCAGCTTTTTTTGCAAATAAAATAAAACATTATTAGTGCATTAAACTAATTATAATTACTAGAATGACTTACCTAAGTTTGTTAAAACTGATACCGCTAAATAGCTTATGAAATAATTATAGTCGTGCTAATTTAAAAATTTAATTAATTGCTTGAGAAAATCTTTATGTAATAATTGTTTGCTACAACTTTCAAAGTCAGTCAAATTAGCACATAAAGCCAATAAATTAGCCAGAAGGTCTATTATTTCAAACAAAATCAATTTTAATTTAAAATTAACATGTCAAGTTAATTTAACCTTTATCATTTGGGAATAATTCAGTGCAAGTAGTAAATTTTTCAATGCCTCTATTATCAATGAATTCTTGACAATTGTCATACGATGAGTTTAAAAATTGTAATGCCGATTTAAATTTACTTATATACCGTAAATTTCTTTATTAGACCAATGGTACCTGCACAGTTACATAATACCGCCCACATATCTCTTAACACATCATCCGCAATTTTATTTTTAATTTTTTCGTCAATAATTGATAGGCATTTGACCACGTATTTCGTGCAACGATTGTATTACGACGTTATTGGTTGATAAATTACGCAACATTTCTGCCCCTTTATAAGTAGTTAATTTTTATACTAAAATATGGTAGACAGTATGTTTTTAATATTTACCAACGAGCTCCTTATCCGAGTTGTAATCAGATAACATCATATTTAGTACCTTATCAAATAAATAAATCAACTTTTTGATTGTCCTTTATAAAAATTAATTATAATAAATTATTAATAAAAACAATGGCCTAGTAGTATTTATTGATAAAGAAATATAATTGACGTAAATAACTACAAGTATTAACAGTACTTGATAATCTTATTAGCTCACAGTTGTTTATCCTAATTATATTATCGATAAATTAATTTACTCTTACTTCAGGGAGAAGTTCATTTTCCTCAAGGTACTGAATCCGTAAACGTAACAAATCGTGTTCATTACTTTGTTTGTCAAAAGTCATTCGCAACTGCCTCAATTCAACCATGAGACTATTATCATCATGATCGCTTGACATTTCTTGTATTGTTTTCAAGAAATTATCTTTCTCAATTTTCAACTCTTTCACCGTTCGCTTTAAAAAATTTATTTCGTCGTTCGCGTTACACTTATCCTCCAGTAGTGCTTCGACGCAGTCGTGATCACGTGTTTTGTCACAATAACATACGTCACACGTTTTCGGACGGTTTGCCTCATTGTGCTCACAGATGGCGTTGTGTTGAATGAGGTCCTCTAAATTATAGACTTCACGGCACCCATTATCCCAAAACTCACACTTGATGTTTAAATTTCCTAACATATTAACGAGAACCCTGGTAAATTTAACATAAAAACATAAATCTCAACCATTTATAATTTTTATCAAAATACTTTGTTTTTATAATTAATTATATTCGAAATAACATGAATAATAAATTCCTGAATTGGTTATTTATATAATTTTAAATATATTGTTTTGTCTTTGTTAATTATTAATTAATTCACCATACTAGATTTTATTAATTTTAATTTAATAAATAAATGAAAAATTAAAATTATTAAATTTTACCTTGGTGCTCGACTTAGTTTATCAATAGTGAGCGTTTTTCTATCATAAGGACAGGAAGTGTTGTTTTGTAACCAACCGGTGATACAGTCCTCACAAAATGTCTGCAGACAACACGGGGTAGTCATTGGACAGCAAAATATGTCCTGACATATACTGCACGTGTATTCAGCCTTTTCCTTAGCCGACAAATTTGGGAACCTTGACAAATCGTATCCGGGCATTTTAAAACTATATTTATTTATAACATTAATTATAAAATAATTGACATAATTATGACATAATAAAACACTAATACATAATTCAAGTTGAATATGGTACATAAATAAATATGACCTTATATTGTTAATACTTAAAATAAAAACTTTAAATGTTATTATATACTGTATATAAAACTTAAGGTGAATTCAACGGAAACTATTTCACTATTTCTCTTATTAAGAGTAATATGATAAATATTTCAATCAAATGTCATTGGTACAAAAGTCAGTTTGCTATAAAATTTATTATTGAATTATAAAGATAATTATTATTATTATTATTCAATATTTTATGTTTAATAATAGTATAGTACAAAGGTCTTATTTGTTATCACAATGAACTAGATTTTACGTGAACCAATAAAAAGCAAACATCTAATAAACTAAACATTGTTTGAAAACCTTTTGAAAATATTTTAACTATTGATTTTATAGCAATTTTAACTAATTGTATAGCTTGTTGTTTTTAACATATTCAATAAAACTTACATAAAAATTATATTTTAATTAGATAATGGTTTATTAGATTATGATTTTTATTGTCTTAAAGATACTACTATTATTTTACAAATTATGGAAATTTAAATTTTCCCTGGTGAATAGTGATATTTTTAACATGTGGTTCTATGGGAATTTAAAGTAAATGCAATAGGCATATTAAATTTATGAAATAGAAATAAATTACTTTTTATTTAAACACTAACTCCTGGTTTACAAAATATGATTGCAAATAGAGCCAGGGTAGAGAATAATTGCACGATAAAACTTTGTTTTAATATAACTGTTGCTGAATGTATAGCCAAATAGTAAACATAAAATCTGAGTTGAAATGTTCAATTATATTTTACATACCTAACATAGTAAAAATATTTTAATTTGACAAAATCTTTTTCAGTGTATCAAAAAAATTTAATTAAAAAAATTATACAATTAATTAAATTTTAATCGATTTTCGTCTCAAAAATTCAGCAGGTACAACCATACTGTCGCTCGATTCAAGTCGCTTCATTTTATCAGGGTCACTCGTAGCCAAATCGCAGTGATATAGGATTAATAAGGCATAAAGTTTGACAGTTCTGGTAACCTCTGACCTCTTAATGAGATCATCCAATACTTGTAATCCATTTTCGGTTCTCAATAGTGAACAGTATTTTGAGCCTAAATATAGTTATTATTAATTTTTATGTTTATTTATATATGAAATACAAAATATTTTCAAACATACTGTTAACCCTGGTACAATTAGCAAGTCTCCACACTGGCCATATATAACAATCGGAAGGTATGTTTGATTTCAATAATCGCGTTATAGGTCGCATGGTGCTATAATATGAGAATGGTAAATTAATAAAAAAAACCTTATTACATACTAATTACAACATACTTATAGTTGGAACGCATTTCTGAATTAATTAACCAACCATTTATCTCGGTATTTATCTTACCAAGTACAATGTTTCGCTGGCAATCACTAGTGATGTCTCTTTGCCATCTATCATTCCCAATTATAGCTTGATAAACGTTAATAATATATATTTAATTGACAATTTAATTTGAAAATTAAAAATATTTACCTAAATTGGTAAGAATTGCAGCAGCCTTGCAACTAATTAAATATCCATAATTCTCCTTGCTTAAAAGTTTTACAAATCGTTTCACATAATCTTTTGCTAATAATTGTGTTTTGAGCATGTCACATTCAGCAACATTTGATAACATACCCAGCATATTATCAATTAATTCTTGTATACAATTGTATATAATAAAAAGAATATATAATATATTAAGATGTAATATAGTAATAGTTTATATATAGATAATTTACCTTTATCATTAGTAAATAAGTCCATACATAGAGTAAATCGTGCCATACCTCTATTGTCCATAAATTGTTGACAATTAGCAACCGATTCATCTAAAAGTTTTAAATACAATATTTATAGTATATTTTATCAACATACTAAATTAATCAAAATAAACCAAAATAACCCTGTACCAGTAATATTCCACATTACGGCCCAAATGCTTTCCAATACTGTATCCGATGTAACCGTCAAAATTCTCTCATCAATAATATCAAGGTATTTAACCATGGCATTTATACTTGGTGATAAACGCTTTAAAGTTTTGTTAAATGATAACTTTGTTAAAATGTGTGCTCCTAAAAGACATGTTTAATTTAGTAAGTTTAAATATTTTTAAAAGTTTATATAATACTACAAACCAACAAGTTGCTTAATCAATATATTGTCCGTCACCATCATTTCCAATACCATTTTTAACAAGCTGAACTTTTCATCAGACTATCACACAGGAATTATTTTATTTAAGGTTAGCAAGTTAATATTAAAATTATAATATAAAATCTTACATCAGTAAATAATCCACTTTGCTCTAATAATTGGTAGCGTGCTAATAAATTATCAAGATCAGTACGAAGTGTATCATTGTCCATTCTTAATTGCCTATTTTCATCTGTTATAGTGGTATTGCCCTGACCACTGGATATATCCTGGATAGATTTTAAAAAGTGATCTTTCTCACTTTTCAACTCTTTCACCGTTCGCTTTAACAAATCTATTTCGTCATTCGCGCTACACTTGGCCTCCAGTAGCGCTTCGACGCAGTCGTGATCACGTGTTTTGTCACAATAGCATACGTCACACGTCTTCAGACGGTTTGCCTCATTGTGCTCACAGATGGCGGTGTGTTGTATGAGGTCCTCGAGTTTGACCACTTTTCGACACCCCTTATCCCAAAAGTCACATTTAATATTTAAGTTTCCTAACATATTTGCTAGGACCCTGGTAAAAATATTAAAATTGTTATTATATTCAGAAGTTATGTTATGATAATTTTAATAAAGAATTATTTAAAGTTTACATACATTGGAAATGATACATAATAAAATATTAACAATACCTTGGTGCTCTTGTTAATTTATCCAGAGATAAGCTCGTCCTATCATAAGGACAGGTATTGTTGTTTTGTAACCAACCGGTGATACAGTCCTCACAAAATGTCTGCAGACAACACGGGGTAGTCATTGGACTGCAAAATATATCCTGACATATACTGCACGTGTATTCAGACTTTTCCATTTCCGATAAATTTGGAAACCTGGACAAATCATATCCGGGCATGTTTCTAATCTAGGTTATTTATAATTATAATTAAATAATTTATGTTATTATAAAATTATTTGTTTAAGTTTACTCTACTTACTTTAAAATATACGAGATTTAATTGATGATTAAATACACTATAACTATTAAAAATTTATAGTAAAATAAAAATTTAATTTTGAACTTATTATAAATTATTTAACATTTAACGCGTATTTACCCATATGTGAATAATAATGAAAGTATTTCACTTTATTATTATTTGATAAGTATTACAATCTAATAGATAAATAATGTTGGTACAAAAGTCATTTAGTGTCGTATAACTTTATTATTTTTATTATATTTCTATTGCATCTGAAATACATGTTATTTTATGATTACATTGAAAACTTTTAACATAATATGTTATAAATTATTATATTATAATATATTCATTTTTAATGTACTTAATAGAAATTAGTAAATTATAAGTTTTATCTAAATGGGGAACATCGTGTCCTGTCAGTAAATTGTGCAATTAGAATGGGTATTAAAACAAACTATATGTCCCTAACGACAAATTGAATTGATCAAACTCGGCGAATATCATGAGCTAGTCCCATAAATCCATTTATAAACATACTGACATAGTTATTTTACACATAAGAATAACATTATTTCTATAACATTATATTTAGTACTTTTAAATATGAATTATACGCAAATATTTTCCGTAAACCCAACGACACTTTGTTTGTAATTTGACGGTTCATTGCCGTTAGAGTGTTCATGAAGTT